AATACACATATTTTGCTTTTCTTTTGCTTTTTCTTTTTAACTTTTTTCATTTTTTCCCCTTTTTTATGGACAAATGTGTATGCAAGAAAAGCAAGAGAAAACACTTGTATAGTGAGTTGCATGTGAACCTGGTTAGTAAGGAAAGAGAAAGAATAGACTTGTACTGATTGTCTAGACAGAGCACATGAGCTGGAAAGGATGTACAGCAGGTTAGGATGGTAAAGGGTCGAAATAAGATGGATATGTATTAGCAAGTCAAGGGAGTGTGCTGAGAAAATGAAATGAGTCTTTTGAGGAGCTCATCAATTAAGAAAATCAGAGAAAGAGTATGTAAGTAAGATAATTAGTGAATCAGGAAGTGCAGATGATTAATAAGGAGAAAGCGAGGGCAGCTATGAAGAGGATGAAGAGTGGAAAGGTGTTTGGTCCTAACGCCAAACCTGTGGTGCTGTCTAGGAGAGAGGACAGTGGCCATCCTAACTGTTTAACATGATCAGATGCACTGTTTGCTTCGGGAGTTGATGATGGACAAATAAAGAGAAGGTCAGAATGAGCTGTGCTGTGTCTTTGTAGATCTAGAGGAAGCATGTGATAGGGTGTGGCAGCCTTGAGCCTTGGTGGCTCCATGGTTCCTCCATGGAGCATCCTAACCAATTTCTGCTCACATGAGTGTGACAGTTTTCTTCCAAACCTTGGCACCATGGTTACATATCTGAAAAAAAGGCCATTACACACCTAACGCAGTGCAAAGAGACAACATAAAATTCCTCATGTTTTCTGATGTGGTCCTGATGTTTCTAAACAAGAAAAGGAAGAAACTGAGATTGTTGGTTCGTCTAGTTTTCATGAAAAGGCAGCAGCAGGGAGATTTTCATGGTTTGATCCAGAAGTTGACGCTGCATCACAACTGCTTTCTTATTTCAGGATGTCAATGAGGAAGTTTGAGCTAATGTTGGCAGAGTTGGGTCCACATCAGAGAAGGCAGTGAAATAATTTCAGAGAGCCGATTGACACCGAGCAGCCTCTAGCTGTGTGCCTTTTGAACTGATGATCTTGGAATCTGTAGGTATTTAGAAACGGTTCCTACTTGTGTAAATCTACAATTATCCTCTTTGGAGCCTGACAGAGTTCCTTGTCAATCAGTCAATCACGATCACTAATAAGAAGTTAATAGGAACCTGTCAAGTTAAATGAAACTGTAGAACCGTCAGTATCACTTATTAGGTTTTAAGTGAGTCAATCTATATGTTTGAGCCTGTATGTTTATTGTTTCATTGCCCCAACTTAAAGCCATAGGCACTGACCAGACTCTTTTAAATGAACGTGCAGCAGTGTTTAAGTGCAAAATGGAAACACTGTAGTAATACACAAATGGGTTAACCTGGCTAAGAAGTCAAACAAATCCTGTTTTCATGCTTTTTGAACTTTAATGCTGGATCACGCTCAACTTAGCAGTGACGTCACTCTCAGCTCAGACATTAGACATTAAATTAGTCGTTCTCCTTACATCCAGTTACCTAATGTTATTACAGAGAGTGTATATGTACTTTAATGAGCCACACACCTGCATTCTGCTTTAAATATTTTAAAATGATGACTGGGATCTCGATCAATGCTACCGCCAAACGCATGCATAAATGCAATATGCATATATAGCGACTCTGAAGAGCCCCAATTTTTACAACCATTACTACGGCGTAGGACTTAAATGCTGGTTACTAAAAATAGGTGTGTTAATAAAGAAACACAACATGCCAAGAAAGTGTTTTTGTAAAAGTTTGGAGTTTATAAAAGTTTAATATACAGTTTAAAGTTGCAATAGCAGTACAACACATTTTATAGGAGTTTCAGAAAAAGCTTAAAAGGAATCAATCACAGATGTAGAGTGCATTAATGTAAAGATTTGAGCCTTTTATATCTAGATGCCAAAATGGCAGTTTGGTTTAAAATGTTCACTTTTTGCATTTAGAACAAACAAAAGCAAAAACAGAAAAATATTTAAGGAGCCAAAAAAATGAAGTACTTTGAATCGAGAAAGTATTTTTCTCTCTTTAATAGGTAGTCCATAACAGACTGAATATATTTGTATAATGGCATTAAATAAAACATTATCTAACCCAGTATTATACTGCACTATCCCCCATTTTAATTAAAACCACACATAAACACTTAGGCTAAACTGTTTCTCATCTCTCCTTTACCATCCCTAAGTACAAAGTCTGAGTTTTACACAAAATTTCAGCACACCAAAACTGAAAATGACATTCAATCTGACACCATTCATAGCAACTAAATTTACCAAGAGACATGTGATTGATCTGGATGTTACCTGTACAAACACGGTCCAATCTAAAAATATAAGCTGATGTTCTGCAGGAAGAACATTTGAATTGTTTGCATTTATTCTATAACTCTAAAAGCTCAAATAGCTGCTGTTTTATAACAGATTGAATGACTATAAAACATCTGTTATAACAATGGCGTCCTGTCATTTACACAAACTATTGTGTGTTAAACTCCAGTTTCATAGACCAACAAAGCTTAGACCATACTCTATGAAGTCTAAAGGAAAATGTATTTTTACACATTTTTGACATTTTCGGTGTGTTAGAGGAACATTCGCTCCTTGCTGTGGGAGAACCGTGTGTTCAGTTCCTGAGACTTCTTCAGCAGCCGCTTCTTCTGCGCTTCATCAAAGCGGTTCACTTGCAGGTCTGCGTCACGATCGAATGGTCTCCTCTCGACTGGCTGGTCAGCTTTCTCCTTCGCCTTCTCCTTCATCTTCTTTGTGTGAAGGCTCATCAGAGACTCCGCACGTTTAGAATCCTAATAATTAGTGACATGTACAGAAATTTTAGTCCTGAACTCAATGTGAACAAAAATGCATACTCTGCTAAACGGGAACATTTAAGAGATGTGAAAAATAAAGTACAACCACTTACATTATACTTGGACACTTTCTCTGCCATTTCCAAGTCTTTGTGAGAAACATGTGGGACACTGTCTTTCTCTGCTTCACCCTTCTTCTTTCCCTCAAGACGTTCCTATTGGTAAAGGCCAACAGACGAATGAGATAGAGGCAAAAATATGTAACAAATAAAAAGTAAACCTGTTTTCATTAAATACCCTGGCTTTGCGCTCCCTGTCTGCTGGTGTATCCGTCCAAATTGAGCGGTCAGCATTTTCGGGACCTGACCTTTTCTTAAAAGTTCGAGCCCCCAAGCCAATATGCTGCAGTTCTGGCGGGAGCTCAGTCATCCATGTTTCTCTGTTCAGCACCTCAGGAGCATCCTGTTGACATGCACACACAAAGAAAAAAAAAAACTTTAAAACTTTAAAATGGTGATCAGAGAAAGAAGAAATCCTAACACCTTAAAATACGGTTAGTCTTTCTGTCACTTTTTATGCATGGATTAAGCTGATTGAACCGTACAGTGTATAGCAGGGGTGTCAAACTCCAGGCCTCGAGGGCCGCTGTCCTGCAGGTTTTAGATCTCACCCAAGGTCAACACACCTGAATCAAATGATTAGTTCATTAACAGGCTTCTGGAGAACTTCAAGACATGTTGAAGAGGTAATTTAGCCATTTAAATCAGCTGTCTTGGATCAAGGACACATCTAAAACCTGGAGGACATTCGAGGCCTGGAGTTCGACACCTGTGGTGTATAGTGTCTGGGATTAGGGCTTACGTCTCCTGTCAGCTTCTCTTTCATCCTTTGTGCTCTACGCTCAATGTCCTGAGCCATAGTGTCCTGAATTGGCCCATTGGCTGGCATTGGTCCAATTACATCCTCATCTTCTCCTTCGCTGCTGGAGGGTTCGGCTTGGTAGCCTGGAGGCAAGGCAGGCCCTGGACAACTGTCTGGATCTTCACCATCATTGTCTTCATGTTGTGCTCTGCGAAACCCAGGAGGTAGAGCTGGTCCCAGCACAGGCGGCCTGAGAGAACAAAGTAAAGTTACAGTTTTCATGATGATCCTCAGCTTATTGATTCCACTCCGTTTTTTTTCTTTATAGGATGGTGCTTTATAGGATAAATTTGCTCACACATCTGGTGAACTCGGACGTTTCTTAAATCCTGGCGGCAGAGCTGGTCCAAAGAAACCATCATCGTCTTCTGTGCTCACCCTGTTCAGAAGACATATGTCAGTGTTTTGTTTATCGAGACATTTCCTGTATTTTAGCTGTAATTCAGCAGGGAACCCACTCTGCGGCTCTTTCTTCACCGGCGTGTCCTGTTTTGACTCTTTTCACCGCTACCTCCTGCTCACTCTCATCAGAGGAGCTCGACGGTTCTCCCCGTTTGTAACCGGGCGGCAAAGCAGGGCCAACCACTGCAGAGTTTGAAGAAGAAAACTGAAGACCGCAATAAAAAAAAAACAATCGGACAAAAGCACTACGAATGCAGGAGTCAAAGTAAACGAGTGGTAAACATATAGTTTCACTTACATTCGTCTTCATAATCATAGTCTTCAGGGCTCTCCTTTCTAAACGTCGGCGGTAAAGCGGGTCCAATTTGTTTATCAGACGACATATTCAACTCTGGGTAATAAATCAGTCACGTAGCTGCAGCAATTTCTGGTTAAATCAGACAGATACCTTCCAACAGATTGAGGAAACCCGTAGGAATCAGATTGACCTTTGACCGAGGAAGTAAACACGGAGTGGCTAGTTTTTTAAAAAAAATTAATTAATTAATAATTTATTGGTATCAACCTAGAGAGGACATAAATCAGAAATACATGAACATTTCTGTCATTTATTCGACATGAAAAACTTTTCTAGATTGTTTTTGATTGTGTCGTTCAATACTGAGTCAACATTGTGTTTTTTGTGTAACATCCCTGCAAACAAAACAAAATAAAACAAAAAACACACATAAACACAGAAAAGGAGACATCAAGAAATCTCAGAACACATATTAAAAAAATCTTTCATATCATCTAAAAACAGTTAATTTCTCAAGTTGTTTTTTTTAACTGTACGAAGAGGATACGAAGAGGATTTTATTTTGACATTTCAAACCGGAAGTGTTTTCTGCAGGAGTTTTGACGCGCAACACCAGCAGCCTGACCCACACCGGTCAGTTTGTCTTAGAAATTTCGGGAGGATATTTGGTTGTTATGCAGTCATATCGGGCTTAGTTTGAGCTATTACCCATTTAAAAGCGGTTAAAATGGGTAAAAAGGACAAAGGAGACCGGGGTACGTTGCTAATCCTGTGTTTTGACCTATATAATTAGCCATTAAGCTAGCTAACTAAGTGATAAGAAGCATTGTACTTTTCTTCTTGGACTCTGAACATTTCCAGTAATTATTCTGTGCTTTTGTAAAGGTTAACAGTTCCAGATAAAGACCATTAGATCAAGGATGTAGAAGCTAGGACATTAGCACGTCTGCAGCCACACTTTCTGCCTCAGTTCTCATATCGTTACATTCATCCCTGTTTCAGCCTGATCGTTTGTGAACCTTTTTTTTATGCCTATGAATAGTTGCATACTCATGTTTGTATCCTTTGTGAATCAGAAAAAAAGTCCAAGAAGCGTTTCTATGAGGAAGAAGATGATGAAGAAGAGGCGGTGGGGAGCGAGTCTCAAGAGGCCATACCTGCTGCTGCAGGAAAACAAGTGGACGAGTCTAGTACAAAACTAGATGAATATGGAGCCAAAGATTACCGTGCTCAGATGCTGTTAAAAAATGATCACTCCTCACGTCCACTCTGGGTGGTAAGATGTGCTTGGGTTGTTGATTTCCTCACTTAAATTTAAAAAGCTTTGGTGTCCTTCCACTTTTATGTGGGAGATGTATGTACTTCTCTCTTATGTTGTTTTTTCTGTTTCCTTTCTCTCCTGCAGGCTCCAGATGGACACATCTTTCTGGAAGCTTTTTCTCCAGTGTATAAATATGCCCAGGATTTCTTGGTGGCCATTGCAGAGCCAGTATGCAGACCTAACCATATCCATGAGTACAAGCTAACTGCCTACTCCTTATATGCAGCTGTCAGTGTGGGGCTCCAGACCTCTGATATTGTGGAGTATCTGCAGAAGCTCAGCAAGACATCTGTACCTGATGGAATCGTGCAATTCATAAAGGTCTTACTGGGAGTATTTGGTGTTTTGAGGAATACTGCCAAAGACTGAACATTGCTGAAAGCACTGTTTTTTGTCGTGATATGCAAATCTGATCTCTCTCTTCTTCTCAGCTCTGCACAGTGAGCTACGGCAAAGTCAAGCTGGTGCTCAAGCACAATAGGTAATTTTAAAAATGGTTTCTTCACGCTTTGCATCAGTAGCACTCTTAGCACTTTTCATAAACTCCGATTACAATCCATGCTCAGGTATTTTGTTGAGAGTGCCTTCCCTGATGTGATCCAGCGACTTCTGCAAGACAATGTGATCCGTGAATGTCGTCTCCGCGCTGCAGATGGAACAGATGCTGAGCTTATTACTGAAGTCATCCACAGCAAGTCAGCGGTGTGCAAATGAACATTTTTTAAGCTCAAACTAATGTGTAAAATAGCACTAATAAAAAAGACTGTTCTTTTATATTCATATGTTTAATAAAGAAAAGTTTCTCTGATCAATCACATATTTAAATAGTTCCTCTTTCTGACAGATTTCTAAGTCTGTTCAAGAAAAAGAAGGCACTTCCAGCTCACAGCAGCCCAGTGATGGGGAAACCTCAACCCAGCAGGTCCCTGAGGACATCTTCAGCTACTATGAGCAGATGGATAAAGAAGAAGAGGAGGAAGAGGAGACTCAGACTGTGTCCTTTGAAATTCGCCAGGTGCATACCTGATTATTTTTTTCCCCCTGTAACGCTGCCACATACTTAATATTATTGCCGGCCCATATTTAAAGCTTTTAAACATACAGATTTAAACGTATTTTCTTGCAACAGTGTTGGTGTTTAAATTTTTGCTATTGGTCCCCAAATCATCAGAAGTAAGTCAATTATTAGGTTATAAAACTGGGTGAAGTTTGGGAACTGCTTTTCCCTTGATCAATAAAAGCTTATGTTTCATGACTTCATTTTAACAAAGTATGATCATTTCTTTAAAAAGCCAATGAAATATTTTAAATCCCCACACTAAACTCTACTCTGTTCTTTTTTTTTTTTTATTGTGGTGCAGGAGATGATTGAAGAGCTGCAGAAGCGTTGTATTCAGCTGGAGTACCCCCTCCTGGCAGAGTACGACTTCCGCAATGACACAGTCAACCCCGACATCAACATAGACCTTAAGCCCACGGCTGTGTTGAGGCCCTATCAGGAAAAGAGTCTACGCAAAATGTTTGGAAACGGTCGCGCCCGCTCAGGAGTCATTGTGCTGCCATGTGGTGAGACAGTGGATTTACTGTTGTCATAAAGGACAGAATGTTTAGTATAATATATATATAAAGACACAAATTTTTATTCCAGCGTTGTAGTATACTCTAAAAGACACTTGAGACTATCTTTTCATTTCATCAAACCTATGTGTAAGACACTCGTGTGTCTCAATAATGTTTATCCTATCTTTGTTTTACAGGAGCGGGTAAATCCCTGGTCGGGGTGACAGCGGCCTGCACGGTGCGCAAACGCTGCCTGGTGCTGGGTAATTCCTCTGTATCTGTGGAGCAGTGGAAGTCCCAGTTCAAGATGTGGTCCACTATTGACGACTCTCAGATCTGCCGCTTCACTTCTGATGCGAAGGACAAGCCTATAGGTTGCTCGGTGGCCATCAGCACCTACTCCATGCTGGGTCACACCACCAAGCGCTCCTGGGAAGCTGAAAGGGTCATGGAGTGGATGCGGAGCCAAGAGTGGGGTCTCATCATACTGGATGAAGTTCACACTATCCCTGGTGAGTTGTTTTTGGTTTTTGTGTTATCCTAAATATATCCGTATATTTATAAGTATTTCTTTTACATGCAGTAAACCAGACAGAATATTTTGGCGCGATTAGTCTCCATCCTAACTTAAAACTTTCTTTGCCTGTAGCAAGGATGTTTCGTCGTGTCCTGACTATAGTCCAGGCCCACTGCAAACTTGGCCTCACTGCCACATTGGTCAGAGAGGATGATAAGATTGTGGACCTCAATTTCCTAATTGGACCAAAGCTATACGAGGCCAACTGGATGGAACTGCAGAACAATGGCTACATTGCTAAAGTCCAGTGTGCAGAGGTGAGTCTTGCAGTATAACAGTAGAAATAAGATATTAGATTATAAAATAGATTTAATAAATAAGCAGCTTTTTTTTTTCTGCATTCACTTTATAGATGAATCCGTAATGCGATATTATGGACATATACATTGTGGTTCTGGTCTAGAACTGGCCGATGTAATTCAAAATTAATTTTAATTGTCATTATGTAACTGATAAAGCAAAAAAATCTAAAGTAATTAATAAATCATTTCATCATACAAACTAATAAAACTATTTTTTCTGGTAAAGTTCAATTTAAGATGGTAACAATTGTGTCTTTTTCGTATTTAATTATATTGCAACTTTATGATGTGCTCAAGATGTGCAAATTTGCACATCTATTCCCCCGCACATTGATTGATGTTAGTTGTCACTGTTGATTATGATGTCACTTGTCAAATTCAAAACTAAATGTGTTAGGGCAGCTTCAAATGTAAAAGCAAAGCCTTTTAACTGTATTCATATTACAGTATGCTTTGAGTATCATCATCAGTGTGACTGGCATGCCTGTTCTTCAGGTGTGGTGCCCGATGTCTCCGGAGTTTTACAGAGAGTACGTTGCCATTAAGACAAAGAAGCGGATCCTGCTTTACACGATGAACCCCAATAAGTTCCGTGCGTGTCAGTTTCTCATTCGCTTCCATGAGCGACGGAATGACAAAATCATTGTGTTTGCTGATAACGTGTTTGCCTTGAAAGAATATGCCATTCGTCTCAACAAGTAAGTTACTGACAAAAAGAGAAGCTCCTTCTGTGTTTCAGGTTGCAATTGTTTTAACAAATTTTCACTTTCTCCCCAAGGCCTTACATCTATGGTCCGACCTCTCAGGGGGAGCGAATGCAGATTTTACAGAACTTCAAACACAACCCCAAGATCAACACCATTTTCATCTCAAAGGTAAACCAGTCAGTCTACAGGGCTGTGAAAAAGCATTTGCCCCCTTACTGGTTTCTTACATGTTTCAGATTATTAAGCAAATTTTAATATCAGATAAAAGTTACTTGAGTAAATACAAAATGCAGTTTTTGAGTTAAGATTTTGTTTATTAAAGGAAGGAAAGCTGTCTTACTTTTTTACACAGGGCAAGGTAATTACCCTCTAAACCTAATAACTGGTTTTGCCACCCTTGGCACCAAAAATTGCAATTAAGCATTTGCGATAACTGGCAACGAATATTTCACATGGAGGATTTTGTCCCACAGAATTGTTTTAATTCAGTCACACTGGAGGGCTTTTGAGTATGAATGCCTGTTTAAGGTCTTGCCAAAGCATCTCAATAGGATTTCAGTTAGGATTTTGACTAGGCCACTTTAAAATCTTCATTTTGCTTTTTTTTTGTTTGTTTGACCCACTCAGAGGTGGACCTGCTGGTGTGTTTGGAATTATTGTCCTACTGCATAAGCCAAGTGTGCTTGAGCTTCAAAAGTAGTAAATCGGTTTTTCAAAAAATTTTGCCAATTTTTAAAACCAATCGTATAAACATTTGGAAGCTTGGGTAATGGTAATTACCTGAGGAAGGCAATAATCAGTAATCTTCTCTCCATACGATATGTAAGAACAATAGCTACAAAAAGTATTTTGACACATAATTCACATTTGCCTTTTATTACACAGTAAATGCATGCTGGTACTGTGACAGCGTGGTGAAATTGCACGTTTGCGAATTCTTCTGCAGGTTGGAGACACTTCATTTGACTTGCCAGAAGCAAATGTGCTGATCCAGATCTCGTCCCACGGTGGATCACGCAGACAGGAGGCCCAGAGACTTGGGAGAGTCTTAAGAGCCAAAAAAGGTCTGTTTGCTTATCTAACCATTTTGTCTTCTGGTGTCTGTGAGCAAAATCACTTATTTCAATGTCCCTGTCTGCCGTTTTAGGAATGGTGGCAGAAGAGTACAATGCATACTTCTATTCACTGGTGTCCCAGGATACCCAGGAAATGGCTTACTCCACCAAGAGGCAGAGGTTTCTCGTGGACCAGGGATACAGCTTTAAGGTGTGCTGTTAACTTCTTAACACGGTCTCATATGATTTGTGCATAATTAATTATAACCATGGTCATAGTGCACATTTCTTTCATGAAGGTCATGACCCATTCCTGTTGAAGTTTACTGTTATAGCTTGAAGGATAGTTTACAGCGAGGATGAGCGCTCACAGCTGGTAAATGTTTATGCCACTTAACCTTTAAAAACCCAATTCCTGAATCTAGTGAGTCCAACTGTTTCTGAAATATATTAAGCCTTGACTTTTATTTCCATATCCTGATATCAATTTGAATTCTTTGACCAAGCATAGTCAAAACTACAGCTCTCACGAATAAGTAGTTAAGTGTTTAAATCCCTGTAATTTGATTTTACCACCGTCTCACTGAAAGACTTAACCTGCTAAAACCTTCTTAAGTGATCACTCTTCTCTATCCTCTTAAGCCACGGCCTTCAAAGACCTGGGGCTTATGGGGAACGGCATTCATAAATGGCTGCTAAAAAATAAATAAATATTGAATGAATCATGATGTCTTCTAAAAAGCTGCTATGCCTAACAAAACATAGGAAAGCCACCCGATTGTGAGAGGGTCCATTAGGGTACGTCCATCCCTGTCTCTTGAACATCTCAAAGAATTTTGTGGTTAACATAATTTGTGTGGCGTCAGAAAACACATTTGCTAAACATTTCATGGATTCTATTTTGACCATTTTAACAAACTTCGGCACAAATATCCCCTTATCCAACCATTTTCTCCTGCTTATCCAGTTTAAGGAGACAAAATCATGATATCATGGTCTAGTCTGAACAAAAATGGATGTAAACTGTTATCTGACTGAATATTGCAAAGTGGAAATTCTCATTTGAGTATTGTACAGTTAAACTTATATGAATGAAGACTTTTGACTTATGGAACAAAATCTGAATGTCCCAGTTTCATTTTGTTTTGTCATAGAAGAATTTTTAAAGAATTTGGTTTCATTGTTTCCTGTCTGTCTGGTGGCATGTGTTGTGAGAAGAATTCCAAGACACACACTGAAAATCAAGACCTTTAAGCAATTCTGGCAGCAGTCATGCGTAGGTTTGTTTACATCAGGGGTGGGCAACTCCAGGCCTCGAGGGCCGGTGTCCCTGCAGGTTTTAGATGTGTCTTTGAACCAACACAGCTGATTTAAATGGCTCATCAACATATCCTGAAGTTCTCCAGAGGCCTGGTAACGAACTAATCATGTGATTCAGGTGTGATGACCCAAGGTGAGATCTAAAACCTGCAGGACACCGGCCCTCGAGACCTGGAATTGCCCACCCCTGGTTTACATGGACAAAACAAAGATAGAACAAGAGAAAAGACTACTTCTCTGACTGTAGAGGCACATTCATTGAATTGTATTTGAATAACAAAGTGCCTGCAAAGTCTTACAGCAGCTGAAAGGTTCACAGTAAAGTGGAAAATCAGTCCCTTAACTGTTATCACTAGTGATGGGCAGATGAAGCTTCATGAAGCACTGAAGCTTTTCATCCAATTGGTTCACCCCAGTGCAAAGCGTCTTGAAGCTTCATTTGCTCTAGTAGGACATCGACTGGACGTAAAAATATGAGAGGTGAGGTGTGGTTGTGCTTTTGTAACGTTGAGGTATGGACAGCTACAGACTGAGGCCTCAGTCCTGCCTGTTCACATTTTATTCAGTAAAAACAAAATTTTCACTGCTTTTATGACCTTTTTAGTGGGGAGAACATAGCTAGGATTTAATGATTTAACAAATCTTTTAAATCCTTTGTCCTCCACAATGCTAAATGGCTGGGAGTCCTCGATCACCATGCTAACCAGGTCTTCATCTATTTGAGATTATTGTCTTTCCTCAGGAGAACAAAGACAAAGCACAAATATAAATATCACACACGTACAACTTATTACAGTTGTATAATATTGTTAAATCATTTAGTAACATTACTGCATGCTATATTATCATTGCATTTGATGGCTCACCTGGTCTTGCTCCACAATCGGTGTTCCCCTTATTCTCATGCAAAGCTCTGTAGTGCCTGAGCATGGATGAGGTGTTGTTGTTATATCCCAGCTCCCTGGCACATAGCAAACACTTCACCTTGAACAAAAGTAAAGACAGCTTAACATAAATTGTATTGCACCATCAGTATTATGAAAATACATCTTCTGTAGAAATTTGCATACCTTGTTGGGAGGAATAAGATCAAAATGTTCCCACACAGGGGAGGACATCCTCCTCTTCTTAGCTGGCTCCATTCTCTCCTGACTTTCTCTGACTTTGACAGGTAATCACAAAGCTGGCAGGTATGGAGGAAGAGGACTTGATGTTCTCCACCAGAGATGAGCAACAGCAGCTGCTTCAGAAGGTCCTCGCTGCTTCTGACATAGATGCCGAGGAGGAGGTGGTGGCAGGGGAGGTGGGCGCACGACCTCAGGTGAGGAATTTCACCAGCTGTTAAGACATTTGTAGAGAAAGGATGTTTGGAGGGTCAACAAAATATTGACACTGCAGAGTCTCTTTGAAATCACTCCTTATGGGCCTACCAAATGAAGGTTAATGAAAGTTCACCACCCCCTCTTCCCTACACAAATATTGTTGTATTGCTGTAATGCTCACCGATTTGCTGTACAATAATATCTTTGTCATTATTATTATTATTATTATTTTTTTTTTTTGCACTATGTCATGAGTTACTCTGTGCTCCCCACCCCTGCTGTTGGTAACTTGCGTATTTTGTACATTTGATTACTCTCACTTCTTCTTTCTCTGTTTCCTGATCAGTTCTCAAGGCGAACCGGCACCATGAGCTCCATGTCCGGAGCAGATGACACCATCTACATGGAATATCAGAGCAGAAGCAGCAAAGCCCTTGCAGCGGGCAAAAGCGTTCATCCACTGTTCAAGCGCTTCAGAAAGTAGATCTACGTGCTTGACACCTTGATACCTAAAAACGTTCTGTGCTGTAATGGGCAGTAAGACAAAACTGGGGCATTGAAGTATGCATTAAAGAGCAGTGTTACGACCCGTCTAGGGCCAGGCCATAACATGAGCGAGGCACTCGCTTCCCCCCCAAGACCCAAGCAGTCACACGAACAAGCAGGTTTGAAGCCCAGCTGAACTCCATCGCGTCTGAATGGAGCAATGATCAGGGATAATGTGTCACTAAGTGGTAAAGCTTTTTGATGTCTGTAAATTGGATGGCTACTTGCATATGACATATAAATCACATTAGCTTTGTAAGCAGCAAAAGATCAGCTCTTAGTCTTTTGGCATCTAAATGAATAAACCATCTTATTTACTGTTGGATAACACAGGTTATCTAATGGTAAAAAATTTGACTAATGCTGCCTTGACCTGCATGAGGACACGTTTGTTATTTTGTAGCTAATTCTCATATGCTGGTTAACAGCATAGCTTTTTGTAAAGTTGACTAGAATGTGTATAAAGCTGCTCCTGAAAGCCAACCACACAGATATGTTTTATGTCAGTTAATTCTGTAAAATGTTATTAAATATGTTTTGTAAAATGAATATTTTTGGACTTTTATTCTCCTTAGACTAGCAGTAATATACACAGCAGACAACAGACAAAGTCTCAAAGTCACAAAACGAAGCAGGACAATAAATCTAAAGAAATCTAGTGAATACTCTTCTGGCAGCAATTAAAGGTCACGATAGCACCCACTTGCTACAGAAGACATTATTTAATCGGACTAACTCATGATTGTGTAGCAATGTCCCCATGATTTCTTCTGAGAATGAATAAAGGGAATAAAAAAAACTATTTGGATAAAAGCCAGGCGTGGAGAGGAGGGGGATAATTCTTTCTTTGTTGGTGACTTGAAGATATTCCAAAAAGAACATCTAGAGCCTGATGCAGTGTCTAAGCTGCAAAAGGAGCGACTGTGGGAAAATATCCACCTCTGCCCACCCAACCTCTGCTGGAGCACAGGACACGTGTGCCTTGAATGGCTGTGTTTTTGGCATGGTCTTAATCGCTGTTTTGTGACCTCCGCTGACCCAAGGCTTATTGGCTTGGAGAGAGTGAAAAGTAATTAGATAGATTGGAATTCACGTGTCTCTTGAGAAAACTGAGGATGGGCCATCTGACTGTTGTACATTAATCACACATGTAGATAACATCAAGATACTAAGCCTACAGATTTATGTCCTTCATTCTGAAACTCGCGCGATTGCTGGGACAGTCTGCATTAATAAGTGTTGCTCCTAAGTTTTTAAACATTTAAATTTTCTGAGAACTAATCAAATGTTTCCATTTGCTCAAATGCCACCTGGCACTCATATACCAGCTGTAAGGTTTAGCCTGCCTGCAGGGTTCAAATGCAAAAACGCCTATAAATCTCATGCCTCTGTAAAGTCCAACTTTTGCAATCTGTCTGCACAAAGTTATCTAAAGTTTCTCATATTTTTCTTTGTTTTAAACACAACTTTTGGACTTGAACACAAAGCGCTTACACTTTTGTAAGCAGCTGATGATTTGTGGGGCTCTCTCATGCGCTTACATCAGCAGTACGTGAGGTTTATTCTTTATTTGAGACGAATTTTCTGCAATCATGTGGCTTCTATCACATTATTTTGCGTGTGTGTGTGGGGGGGCTGAGTGACGCGCTCGGAGGGAAGGTGGTGTGCGCAGTCACAGAGGATGATTGATTGGTGTGATGTAACGAACTTTTAGCACGTTGTACTGCGCCCATTTCCGAATAAAGAGTTATCCCTCCCTTCTTTTGAGGCGATCGTCCAATCCTCTTCTTCTGAGGTTGTACAAGCAACTATTTAAAAGCGATCCACGATACTGTCCTTGTCTAACATTTCACTACCACACAGGGAGTGTTGTGTTTGCACGAGCCAAGAGCGTACATTTTCTGCAGATGTGAAGTTACAAAAAAAGACTTTGCAAAAGTTTTTTTTTAATTTTTTTTCTCACACATAGTTCTCGGTCACGCAAAGGCGGAAAAAAGCATCTCAACAATGGCAGTCTTCAATAATTTCACGAAGATATGCTGGAAGAACTTTCAGAGCGACCAGTTGAATAAGCAGCTGTTCTACGTTGTGCGTTCCTTACACAAGTCAGCAGCCAGCGAGGCTTTGGGGATCTCTGCAACAGAAGAAGAGACCATGCCCAACAGGATGATCAAACCGGAGGAGGTCAGCGAGAAAACTCAAATCAAGACCCTGAACGACATGCCCGGACCGAACACCCTGTCCAACTTGATCGAGTTCTTTTGGAAGGACGGGTTTGGCAGAATCCATGAAATTCAGGTAATGGTGCTCAATCTTATGCTTCATTTTGTTCTTTTTTCATAGGTTAAAAAATAAATAAAAAATGTCTTGGCCTCGTATTCTCAGTGCTCAGCCAAATTTGTCACCTATGCGTAAAATGGCAATGTAGCGCACCAGGAGTCCGGACACTGGTCGACCTTCCGGTACAAGGCGAGAGTTTTGTAATCGTCCTACTGAGATGTGATGAGCTAACCCGCCCCCGTTTATTGCCAAACATAATTTGCCCCCCATTTGTTTGAAATAATCGGGGGTAAATTATGGTTCAGTCGTGGTCGCGAGTGGACGCGCGCTGGCATTCCATTGGCAGTCCGTGGTCACCTTCAGACTGTCCGTCTACCGTAAGAGAGAGCCTGCCCGCAAATGGGGGCAGTCTGAAAAAATGTGTGGCACGACCGGTCGGTCCATCGGCCGGACCCAGAGAAAAGTAATGGGATAGTTTTAACTCACAAAGAGCTGAAGTTAAACAGAATCTTATCAACCAATCCACCGAGGCACCGCGTCCTCCACGTCCAGCGCCGTGCAGCTGTGATTTTGGAGTTCAGGGGAGCATGTCCGTGGGCAGAATACCTCCGCAAACTGCACAACCGCGGCAGCATAAATGAAAGCTTAATTAAGTGTCGTCTTTCAGATGCAGCATATGCAGTTTTTACACAGCGTTTTGAAACGTAGCCTATGCAAATTGGGCACAATAAGCGCCTGCCAGCGTGAGTACAACGAGTACAAAAGGGTCATCATTTCTTAATGTGTCTATATAGATTAATTGTTTGTAGTGAAATATGCTCGAGGTTACGTAATCGTTTCTAAATTTAGATCATTAAAACATTTTTTAAGTTGATGTGAACACTGGCAGTCTTCTTCAATAGCATCTGCAACTTGGTTTTATTTTTTTATTATTTGAATGTTACACATTAACATTATTATACAAAAAAGGTCTTCAAAATAATCAGAACAATAAATAAGGAAGTAGTTATCATTACGTTATGGCAGGAGAGCAGTAAAATAAATTCAGTGCTGAAATCTATTAGTAAAGTAATTTACAAATATCTCTAGATATCCTGATTGTCACTGTTGCTTTCTAGATGGAGCACCGGAAGAAGTATGGAAAGATCTTCAAGTCTCGTTTTGGGCCCCAGCTGGTGGTCTCCGTTGCAGATCGTGACATGGTGGCTCAGGTGCTGAGGGCAGAGGGGGTGGCCCCTCAGAGGGCTAACATGGATTCCTGGAAGGAGTACAGAGACATGAGAGGACGGGCCACTGGGCTCATCTCAGCGTGAGTCCCCTTCAGTGTTCAAACCATGAGTTTTGAGTTTTGGCAACCTCAGGAAATAATACCTTGATCTGAGCAGATGTGTTGATTAGATTTCCATTACCCGTCCCTTAATTTATCTCCTCATTTCACACTTCCGTTTACTACTCAGTAGTCCACTTTAGCATCCAAAAAGCATCAGAACTTGCAGTTTTTCCAACAGCAACATCCCTTAATATTCAAATTGAGAACCCCCCCCCATATGTCTCTGAATGACTCAAATAAGTGAATACAAGGGAATTTTAACTATCATTTTGTATCTTGTTTCCCAGTGAGGGAGAAGACTGGCTGAAGATGCGGAGCGTGCTCAGGCAGCTCATCATGCGACCACGTGATGTTGCAGTCTTCTCTGATGATGTAAACGGCGTGGTGGACGACCTCATCCAGAGGGTGTACAGTCTGCGCACCCAGCAGCCGGATAGAGCAACTGTCCTCAATGTGAATGACCTCTTCTTTAAATATGCCATGGAAGGTTGGTACCAAGTCTGTAGATTATTGGCTGTGAAGCAAATACCAGTTGGTCAAAAAGGATTTATAAGTGGCTCAATGCAGGCGAAGTGTAGATGGCAGGAAAGAAAATCAATGAGAAAAACTGAAATAACAGAAAAACTGCTATGAAGAGGTAACCAAGGGAGAAATATATGAACCACGTTATTCACTTCTCTAAAATTTAGTCACCAATTTTCGATAGAAAGTTATTAAAGTGGCCCTGTACTAAAAAGTCAAAGCCACTGATGGTTGCCAGTGTTAAACATCTTAGATTGGTAAAATTCTCTCTCTCTTACCTTCGTTTTTACAGGAGTGGCTGCTATTTTGTATGAATGCAGACTAGGATGTTTGGAAAATAATATTCCCCAGAAAACCCAGGACTACATCGCTGCACTGAACCTCATGTTCAGCTCCTTCAAGATGACCATGTATGCTGGAGCGATCCCCAAGTGGCTCCGACCCATTATCCCCAAACCATGGGAGGAGTTCTGTCTGTCCTGGGATGGTCTTTTCAAATTCAGTAAGTGGTTTATAGCTTGAAATTGTGATCAAAGAAGACAGATTAGTTTCATACTTGTATGCTCTGCTGAACTGCCTGGACAGTGTTTTAGTCCAGAAGATGGTAACCCAGTAATTTCTTACTACATAAAAAGGATACTGGAACACAGGAAGGAGAGATTTCCTAAGTATATCCAGGCCTAATTTATGCTAAGACTTGTGGTACTCTTGTCTAAGACTTCAATTTCTTTTTAGAGTGACCACAAAGGCTGTTAATCAAGTTCTGCCTTGATGCCAGAACTTCTAGAAAGATCTAGTTTTTTTTTTAGCTTTCCTATTTGGCTAATGCTTTCATTAAAACGCCAAGTAGTAGAGCTTGAAACCGGTAGTGCTCAATAGAAGGGAATGTTGATGTTGATTTGCATTTAAATCTCCACTGCTGTACCATTGGATAGTGAGAGTATGCAGGTCCATCTCTTACATAACCTACTCCTTTTTCTCTTGCTTTCCCTTCACTACCTTCCTTCACGATGACCCGCATTTTTTTTTTCCCCATTCATATCACCTTCTCTACCCCTCGTTAATCCCAGGCATTGTTCACGTCAATAAGAGACTCTCGGAGATCAAGGCCCAGCTGGAGCGGGGAGAGGAGGTGAAGGGGGGACTGCTCACACACATGCTCATTACCAGGGAGATGAGCGTCGAGGAGATCTACGCTAACGTAACCGAGATGCTACTGGCTGGGGTCGACACGGTGCGTGTGTGTCTGTGTTGTGATAAACATTGTGCAGAGAAGGGTTCGATGTATGTGAAGAGTTGCAGGTGTGTGTGTTTGCATCTGTGTGTGTGTGTGAGTGTCAGAGTCAGTGTTGAGTTTCAAAGGTTGTGTTTCTGGCGCCATGTCCATGCCTGTGAAGCTGTGCCAGCGTCAGGTCAG